GGAAAGGAAGACATAAAGAATCGGCTTCCGATCTTTTTTTACCGCCGTTATAAATGTACTTATATTTTATCCGATCTTTAACGCCAGAAGGTACTCCCCAACTTTCCATATCTGAGCCTTTCTAATCGCCAAAGCCATCAATCACATGTTCATTTTTTCTAGTTTTCAGCAAAAAGTCTGTAATCATTTTTCCGTCAGGCGCCAGTTGTTTTTTTTTCCTCCCATCAAACAAGTTAATTTTGCCACTCTGCAAATCCTGTCATTCTTCACCCTCCACACCTCCCTGGAGGGCATTTAAATTTTTCCACCTTTGCGCACGGAAACGGTTTTCCCATCAATCTATTCTTGGTGCCTGTCCGTTACAGATAGTCCTCGACTTACAATGGTTTGCTTAGTGACCGGTCAAAGTTACCACAGTGCTGAAAATGGACTTATGTCTATTTGTCACATTTATGACTCTGGGAGTTGAAGTCCACCCCTCTTAAACTGTGCTGGCTGGGGGATTCTGGGAGTGGAAGTCCACCCCTCTTAAAGCAGGCTGGCTGGGGGATTCTGGGAGTGGAAGTCCACCCCTCTTAAAGCAGGCTGGCTGGGGGATTCTGGGAGTTGAAGTCCACCCCTCTTAAAACTGGCTGGTTGGGGATTCTGGGAGTGGAAGCCCACCCCTCTAAAAGCAGGCTGGCTGGGGAATTCTGGGAGTGGAAGCCCACCCCTCTTAAAGCAGGCTGGCTGGGGAATTATGGGAGTGGAAGTCCCCAAGTCTTAAAGTTGCCAAGTTGGGAGACCCCTGATTTATATGAAGAAATAAACAACGTGTGTGTGATTGTGTTGGTGTGCATCTCTGTGTGGTATGTGGCCTCAGGTGTGGCTTTTATCGATGCCCAGAAGTGGGGGGGGAGGAGGAAGAGAATCTTGCTCCTTTCCCCCCTCCTTTATCCAGGCTGCCCTCAATTTAGATTACACACACACACACACACACACGGATGCACGCACGAGAGCAAACGACCCACAGAAACTTCCACTCTCGCTTTACACTCCGAGAAAGGAGTCTGCGTCTCCCCCAACGCTCTCCTTCCTGCCGTCCGGCCGCCTCGAGCCTCCAGCTCCAGCAGCAGTCTATCTCCGAAGCTTGCAAGACGGAGGGTGGAGGACGCCGGCTTCCCGCGAGGCTTCCCCGAAGCTGGGCTGGCCGGGGACGATCTCCCTCCGAAGGGGAGAGGCAGAACACAGGAATCACAGAATCGGAAGGGATCTGAGAGGTCATCCAGTCCAACCTGCTGCTCAAACAGGAGCGCCTATATACACTATTCCAGCAAAATGGCTGTCCAACCGGCTCTCCAGGAGGGGCTGGAGAGGTGAGGATGAGCTACAGGCCCTCCTCCCTGCCCCACGGCGGCCTCGAGCCTCCACCACCAGCAGCAGTCTACCCCGGTAGCACCAGATGAAAGGATGCTCGCTTGCGGAGGCTGGACTGGCCAGGCCGACCTCCCTCCCTCCCTCTCTAGCAGGGGTGGGGTGTGGTGGGTCTAGAGCAGGGGTAGGCAACCTTGGCTCTTTTATGACTCGTGGACTTCAACTCCCAGAATTCCTGAGCCAGCATGGCTGGCTCAGGAATTCTGGGAGTTGAAGTCCACGAGTCATAAAAGAGCCAAGGTTGCCTACCCCTGGTCTAGAGAGAAGAGGGCGAGTAGCCGTCCGCCGCCCCCTGCCCGGCCCTCCCTTCGGAGCCTCCAGCTCCAGCCCCAGTCTACCCCAGAAGCTGCATTCAGAGAATGATGATCGCCGGCTTGCCTTCCCCGAAGCTGGGCAGGCCGGTCCGATGTCTCCCCCCTCTCTAGCGGGATGTCTCCCCCCTCTCTAGCGGGCAGGGCTGGGGGGGGGGCGCTAGAGATGCTTGGCCTCCGCCCTGCCCTTCCTTCGAGCCTCCAGCTCCAGTAGCAGTCTATCCGGGAAGCTCCAGACGGAGGATGGAGGAGCCCACCCCTTTGCTGTCGAGGCTGGCCTGGCCGGGCCAATCCCCCCCCCTCTAGCGGGGCAGGGTTGGGGGGAAGAGTAGAGAGGCTTGGCCGAGCCGCCCTTGGCCGCCCCCTGCCCAGCCCTTCCTTCCAGCCTCCAGCTCCAGCAGCAGTCTATCAGGGAAGCTCCAGACGGAGGATGGAAGACCCCCCCCCCTTTCGCCTTCCCTCTAGCGGGGCTGGGCTGGCCGGGCCGATCTTCCCCCCTCCCCTCTCTAGCGGGGCTGGGCTGGTGCGGGGGGGGGAGCTAGAGAGGCTCGGGCGCTCCCTGCCCTCCCTGCCTGCCCTTCCTTTGAGCCTCCAGCTCCAGCAGCAGTCTATCCGGGAAGCTCCAGACGGAGGATGGAGGAAACCCCCCCTCGCGCGCTTTGGCTTCCGAGGGGCTGGCCTGGCCGGACCGATCCCCCTTCCCTCTCTAGCGGGGCAGGGCTCGGGGGGAGTGGGGGGTCTAGAGAGGCTCGCCCCCCCCCGCCCGGCCCTTGCTCGACTCAGCTGGGCAGAGACCTCCGCCGCCCCCTGCCCGGCCCTTCCTTCCTTCCTTCGAGCCTCCAGCTCCACCCGCAGTCTATCCGGGGCGCTCCAGACGGAGGAAACCTCCTCTCCCCCCCCCCCCCACGTGCGCGCTTTGGCTTCCCGGGGGCTGGGCTGGCCGGGCCCAGGGAGGCTGAGGATGGAGGGGGGGGGGGCTAGAGAGGCTTGGCCGAGCCGCTCTGCGCCTTCCCCTGTCCTCCCTCCGAGCCTCCAGCTCCAGCAGCAGTCTACCCCAGAAGCTGCATACAGAGTACTCGCCCGCTTGCCTTCCGCGGGGCTGATCCCCCTCCCCTCTCTAGCAGGGCAGGGGTGGGAGGGTGGGAGCTAAAGAGCTCTGGCCGAGCCGCTCTCCGCCTTCCCCCGCTCTCCCTCCGAGCCTCCAGCTCCAGCAGCAGTCTACCCCATACAAAGTACGCTGCTCGCCCGGCTTGCCTTCCGCGGGGGCCTGATCCCCCTCCCCTCTCTAGCGGGGCAGGGTTGTTGGGAGGGGCGGGGAGGGGCGGGGCGGGGCGGGCTGGAGAGGCTCGGGCGCCCCCTGCCCGGCAAGGCTGAGGATGGAGGGGGGGGGGCTAGAGAGGCTTGGCCGAGCCGCTCTGAGCCTTCCCCTGTCTTCCCTCCGAGCCTCCAGCTCCAGCAGCAGTCTACCCCAGAAGCTGCATACAGAGTACTCGCCCGCTTGCCTTCCGCGGGGCTGATCCCCCTCCCCTCTCTAGCAGGGCGGGGGTGGGGGCGAGAGAGGTATGGCCGAGCCGCTCTGCGCCTTCCCCTGCCCTCCTTCCGAGCCTCCAGCTCCAGCAGCAGTCTACCCTATATACAGAGTATGATGCTCGCCCGCTTGCCTTCCGCGGGGTTGGCCGGGCCGGGCCGGGCCGACCCCCCTCCCCTCTTTAGTGGGGCAGGGTTTGGGGTGGGGGCTAAAGAGCTCTGGCCGTGCCGCTCTCCGCCTTCCCCTGCCCTCCTTCCGAGCCTCCAGCTCCAGCAGCAGTCTACCCTATATACAGAGTATGATGCTCGCCCGCTTGCCTTCCGCGGGGTTGGCCGGGCCGGGCCGGGCCGACCCCCCTCCCCTCTTTAGTGGGGCAGGGTTTGGGGTGGGGGCTAAAGAGCTCTGGCCGTGCCGCTCTCCGCCTTCCCCCGCCCTCCCTCCGAGCCTCCAGCTCCAGCAGCAGTCTACCCCATAGAGAGAACAATGCTCGCCCGCTTGCCTTCCGCGGGGCTGATCCCCCTCCCCTCTCTAGCGGGGCAAGGGCTAGAGAGCTTCGGCCGTGCCGCTCTCCGCCTTCCCCCGCCCTCCCTCCGAGCCTCCAGCTCCAGCAGCAGTCTACCCCAGAAGCTGCATACAGAGTACTCGCCCGCTTGCTTTCCGCGGGACCGATCCCCCTCCCCTCTCTAGCGGGGCAGGACTGGGGGTGGGAGCTAAAGAGCTCTGGCCGAGCCTCCAGCTCCAGCAGCAATCTACCCCATACAGAGTACGATGCTCGCCCGCTTGCCTTCCGCGGGGCTGATCGCCCTCCCCTCTCTAGCGAGGCAGGGCTGAGGGTGGGGTGGGGGGCTAGAGACGCTTGTCCGAGCCGCTCTCCGCCTTCCCCCGCCCTCCCTCCGAGCCTCCAGCTCCAGCAGCAGTCTACCCCAGAAGCTGCATACAGACTACTCGCCCACTTGCTTTCCGATCCCCCTCCCCTCTCTAGCGGGGCAGGACTGGGGGGGTGGGTGGGAGCTCAAGAGCTCTGGCCGAGCCGCTCTCCGCCTTCCCCTGCCCTCCCTCCGAGCCTCCAGCTCCAGCAGCAGTCTACCCTATACAGAGTATGATGCTCGCCCGCTTGCCTTCCGCGGGGCCTGATCCCCCTCCCCTCTCTAGCGAGGCAGGGCTGAGGGTGGGATGGGGTGGGGGGGCTAGAGACGCTTGTCCAAGCCGCTCTCCGCCTTCCCCCGCCCTCCCTCCGAGCCTCCAGCTCCAGCAGCAGTCTACCCTATACAAAGTACGACGCTCGCCCGGCTTGCCTTCCGCGGGGGCCTGATCCCCCTCCCCTCTCTAGCGGGGGGCAGGGCTGTTGGGCGGGGCGGGGCGGGCTGGAGAGGCTCGGGCGCCCCCTGCCCGGCCCTTGGCTCCGCTCAAGCTGGGCAGAGCCGGGCAGGGCTGGGCGGCGAGAGCCGGTGACATCACCCTCAACGCCCACCCCCTGCCTGTGCCCAGCCTGGCTGCCCGCCGCCGCCGTTGCCAGCCTCGCTCCGTCCCTCCCAGCCTGCTTCCCGCCCTCCCGCCCTCCCTCCAGCAGACAACGGCGTGCCGGGGCGCTCGGCTTGGCAGGGCCGGGCTGGCGACGGCCTCTCCGGGCTCCTGGCAGCGGCAGCAGCGGCAGCAGCAACGGCGGCGCCGGCACCCGCAGCCTCTTCCTGCTCCTCCGCCTGCCGCCTCCTCCTCCGCCGCCGGGCGCCCCTGCGGGAGCCGCCCGCATGAGCCTCCGCAAAGGCGACAAGCCGCCCATCAGCATCCAGGAGCACATGGCCATCGACGTCTGCCCGGGTCCCATCCGCCCCATCAAGCAGATCTCCGACTACTTCCCGCGCTTCCCCCGCGGCCTCCCCGCCGCCGCCGCCGCCGCCGCGCCGCTCAGCCGGAGCCAAAGCCAGCGCCGCGCCTCCGCCTCGGCCGGCCCGCCCAGCCCCAGCCCGTCCGGGACGCCCCCGCCGCGGGACGACGATGAGGACCTGGACCAGCTCTTCGGCGCCTACGGCAGCGGGGACGCCCCGACGGCGCGAGCCCCCGAGCCCCCGCAGCAGCAGCACCACCACCACCAGCAGGACCCCCTTACCCATCCGCCACCCCCGCCGGCCCGCGAGGAGGAGGAAGAGGAGGCGGCCGACGGCTACGAGTCCGACGACTGCAGTAAGTCGGGGCGGGAGGGGCCGCTTGGGGAACCAAGGGGGCGCGCCTGGGAAAGGCTCCGGCGGCGTCGAAGGAGGGAGAGGGCGCCCGCGGGCGCCAGCGCCTGGGAAGGAGCGCCGTCGGGCGGGGGGGATGCCGGAGGAATTCCGAGGGGTTTGCGCTCGGGACAGACCTGGATGCAAGCTCGGGGGAGTTGTGGATGTGTGTGTGTGGGGGGGGGGGGGGACTGCGCTGACCGGCGTGCCCGCGAGGAGAGAGTGAGAGCACGTGTGAATCTGGGCAAGAGCCAGGGGTGGCCCCGTCGTGGGGGGAGAAGAGGCTGGACAGCCATTTGCCTGGAATGGTATATCGTAAAGTCTGCTTGAGTAGGAGGCTGGACTAGAGGATCTCCAAGGCCCCTTCCAACTCTTGTTGTTCTGAGATCCATACTCAAAATAAGGAGTGAGAATAATCAATCAGGCTTACGACCAGAAATTATGGAGGTTTTGAAGAAGAGACTCTGGATAGCCTTTTTGTCCAGAATGGCATAGGGTCTGTTGCTTGAGCAGGCGGGTTGGTCTAGAAGACCTCCAGGACCCCTTCCAACTCTGTTATCCTGCTTTCCATTAAAAGCTTTCTGCCTCGTGGCTGGGTCGGCTTCCTGGGGGCCAGGACAGACCCCCCCCTTGTCAAACTCTTAACGCGGTAGAAAACTTGAAAAGAAAAAAAAAGCCCCGCCAGCCTCTTGAAAACTGCTATTAGGAGGGTGTGGGGGGCACCAGAATCAGCCAGATGTTAGCCTGGGTTTGGCATCTGTGCCCCCCCTCGGATCGAGTCCTTCCTAAGAACCTGAGAGCCAGATGTGGTTTACTATTATTTACAGGTGGCGGCTGGATGTCAACTGATCCTAATCAAGCTGCCTTCTGCAATTGACTGACCGGGAGGTGGTCAACGCCCAATAGTGTTCAAGGGATGCTCCAGATCAGATACTCCAGATCAGAGATCCCCAACCTTTTGGGCACCACCAGCGGCCGGATCCGTGGAGAGAGGTTTTTCCACGGACCGGACGGTGCGTGACTGTGTGTGCTTGCCTGCATCCCACGGATGGGGCTTCGTTTGTTTGTGCGGACCGGTTGCTGGCATGCCGCGACCCGGTACTGGTCCACGGACCAGGGGTTGGGAAACCCCTGCTCCAGATGTTTAGGGATTATCATCGTCGTTCTCTTCCTTCAAAATCCCTGGATGTTTGCCGAAGGACCATCCCCCATAAATGTTCCTGTGGTCTCACGCACACCCGAAGATGCTTTACCTCTTAGCAAATGTTATTACTCGTCTTATTACCTTCTATTATTAATAACGGTGTTAATCGTACCATTATCACAATTCATGCCGTTAATAAGAATGGTACCATTATGAATAATACGTGTATTATTATTAATAGTGCATTCATAATATTATTTTCCTTCTTATTATTATCGTCCTTATTATCCTCTCTGCTTGATATTATTATTATGGTTATTATTATTAATTTGGTGCTTTGCTTGGACACAGAGAGCTGCTGCACCGGGGACAAATTCCTTGTGTGTCTAATCACACTTGGCCAAATAAAACTATCCGGATGCTTTTCTCTTCTCCAAATGCCTCCAAACTCTTGGAGTTTGCTACCCTCCCCAGCTGTTTCTCCCCCCCCCCCGGTCCTCAATTCTCCGATGTCTCCGCCCTTTGGCCCCCCTGCCCCCCCTTGCCCTCCCCGTGGTGTCCTTGCAACACTGAAGACCACCTTGGGCGGGACAGGCTGGCAAAACACTGCGGCACTCGCCAACCCACTGCCCTGTGGCCACTGCAGCGAGAAAAAAATAGCTTCCCGGCTTTTTCCCTTTCGGATCCAGCAGGAAGGGATCTCCCACCCCCCACCCAACCCCCCGTCCTCAAATCCCCCTTTCCTAGGGCCAGGGTTTTGCTGGAAACACACCGGTTGCTCCTGTTTGCAAAATCAACCGTGCGTAGTGCAAGACAGTTGGGGTGCAGCCGGAGCTGGGAGCAGGAGGGAGAGAGAGAGAGAGAGAAAGGGTTGAGGGTGCGAACCTGCATCTAGCTGGCAAGGATAATGGGATGGGTGGTCCTCTGAACCGGTGGGGAATCTGGAAGCTGAGCCTTGTTCGGGTATGCTGACCAGGTTTTCGGGAGCTGCATTCCTGGTGATGGCGAACAGGTGTGCAGGCTGTTTGTGTCGAGTGTTGGGCTTTCTTAACGCAAGGTGTCAACACCCAGGATGCTGGGGAGGGGGGGTGTCTGAAGACCCTGATAATCCTGTGTGTAGAGATTCAGGGAAAGCAGAACAATGGGGCTGAAATTTTGTTGGGAGCACAGAGATGCTAAGTGTCGAGGGGGAAAAAAAATCACCACGTTTTAAGATTTAAATTTCTTTCTGTTTTAGTTCTGTTCACGAAGAACATTGGCAACCCCAGATATGAAGGGGAGTCAGGCCTGGATTGGGAAGGGGAGAGAGGAAGAGGAAGGCGTTTTTGAAAAAAGGGCTGTTTGGGATTGGAGAGAAAGGGATCCGGGCTTTTTAAGAGAGGCGTTATGATACAAGGTTTGGCTAGACCAGCGGTTCTCAACCTTTTTAATGCCGCGACCCCCAACCGGTCGTAAGTCGAGGACTAAACCGGTTGTAAGTCGAGGACTAAACCGGTCGTAAGCCGAGGACTAAACCGGTCGTAAGTCGAGGACTTTCCCTGCCCGGGAGCACCGTGCATGCGTGGTTCCGCTCCCTGCGCCGGCCGAGGCATAGCTGGCAAGCGGCAGAGACGGAGCAGGCCGACCACCAGCTGGCCCAGCTCAAGGGAGGTAAGGCACCCGCCGGAAAAGGGGGAAAAAAATGGCGGACAGCCTTGCTTGGTGACCCCCGTGAAATGGTCGATCGACCCCAAATGGGGTCGCGACCCATAGGTTGAGAACCGCTGGGCTAGACCCAGGAAGAGCCAGGTTTTATTTATTTGATTTATTTATATCTCGCCTTTATCATTTTTATAAATAACTCAAGGCAGTGAACACACACATACACACACACACACACACACACAATGTTCTTTCCTTCTCCTGTTTTCCCTAGAACAACAACCCTGCGGGGTGGGGTGGGTTGAGAGAGAGAGGGACCGGCCCAGTTTAAGTTCACTTTCTCTCTGGAGAAAGTCATTGGGTGTGACTGGGGCTTTTCGTCCTCCCTCCGCTCATCCTACCTCACAGGGCTGTTGTGGGGGTAAAATTCAGAAGGGAATCACCCAAATGAGTAGAAGTGAATTCTGGGGGGAAATATAAAAACGGAACAAACCTAAATAAAAGGTATTTATTTCCTCTCTCGGATTTCTGTCTCGCCTTACCCTAGATTTCCCCCCTCCCCAACAACAGCCTTATAGGGTAGGATGGTTGAAGTTGCTGATTTTAATGATTTTAAGTGCTGTGTTGCATGTTAAATTGGGCCATTGATGTTTTCTGCCAGCTGAATAGTGAATAATGAATAGTGTAGACCTATCTTCCTTCCCTGCCGTGATTAATAACTTTAATTGTTTCCCCAATTAAAAACATTTTTAGCCTCTTTAGTCTGGAAGGCAGAAATTCAACTGGCAGTGTTGTAGCATTACAGCAGGGGTCTTCAAACCCTTACATTTCTTTTTTTCAGGCCAGGAAACTGGAAAATTGGAATTCCGGTAACTTTAAAATGCGTCGTGGGCTAAATTTAATCCAGCTCTTTTTAGCATTTTTTAACCACTTTAAAACATTTTTTAATACTTTGGTATTTTTAATGGCAACGTATGTTTTGAATGGCAAGCCGCGCAGAGTCATTGACTAAGACGGGGAGGTGGGGGGCGGGGCTACAGAAATTGAGCAAATTCACACATAATAAATAAATAAACCCTTCCAAACTTAATTTTACCTCTGGGGAGTCCTCGTCTTACCATCACAACAGCCCCAAAATTTCCGTCGCCCGGCGAAACGGTGGTTAAGTGGATTTTGCCCCATTTTACGACCTTTCTCGCCACCGCTGTTAAGTGAATCGCTGCAGTTTGTTACGTTAGTCACACGGGATTCTGCAAACTGTCTATAAATATGAATCCGTTGTCCCGCATTCGAATGTAAATCACACAAACGTGGCGGGGATGCTGCCACGGTCACAGGCGTGACCAAACGGTCTTCTTTCCAGCGCCGTCGTAGCTTTGGACCGTCACTAAATGAAGCGCCGTAAGTCGAGGACGGCCTGTATTTGCAAAACCTCCTCATCTGCACTTCCAGCCAGCCTGGAGTAAATCTTCAGTGAACAAGTAGCAAAGAGAAAACTCTGCTTTAGATCCTGGAGAAGATTCTTAGGGGCTTCCAAAGGTATATTTTGCCGTTGTGTTTATTCAAGGCGGTAGTTCTCAGTAAGGCTTTTACACGCCGGCTCTCTAATTACTGGGGTATAAAGCAGGACTCGCTGCAGAGATGCGAGATAGCAATCCTTTTTCTCCCCTCAAGAGGATTAGCAGCTTAAGTTTCTTTTTTAGAAAGGAAGATACGGTGCAGGGCTCCTGGGATTGCGAGCTCGCTGCCTCCTTGTGATCAGCGGTGTGCGTGCGGCTTCCGAGGAGTTGTCGCTTTTCACACCCAAACCCAGGCAGTCCTTGACTTACAGCTGTTCGTTTAGTGACCCGTTCGAAGTCACAACGGCATTTTTAAAAGGACCCTGGTTCCCACTTTACCACCTTTGCAGTGTCCCCCGTGGTCCCGGGACCGAAATTTGTTTGCTTGGCCAACTGGCTCACATTTTACAACGGTCACAGCGCCCCGGGGGGGGTCGTGGGATCGCCTTTTGCGACCGTCTGAGAAGCAAAGGGCGTGGGGAAGCCAGATTCATTGAACAACCACGTGACTAACGTAACAACGAGGGGGTCCTTGGTGCTCTCTGAGCTTGGTGGTTTTCTTGCAGACGTTTCGTGACCCAACTAGCTAACATCATGTGTGCTAGAAGAGACAGGGGTTTT